TGGGCACCTTGGAGGATTCCCAGGGAGGAGAAGAAGGAGAGAAATGCCACCGCCCTCAGGGGCCCTCGCGGTGCTGCACCCGTGGAAATGCACAGGACACGTTCCCTTGCCTTATTCCTGTGAATAAATAATAAAGTGCATCCCTTAAACAGTCATTCCAAAGAGCCCTTGACAGGGGCTTGGAACTCCTTTCCCCGCTGTCCCAGAGCAGACCCCGCCTGGTGGCCGCCTCACCTTCTGTGTCTGAACCTCATGACCTGTCTGCTTGCTCTCTGTTGACAGTGAAGGCCAAGAGGGGTCAAGAGACCTCTTTCCTCAGCCCCAGCGGTTCTGTCATTCCCCCGAGTGACCAGCAGGAGGCGGGGGCGCCGCCCTCCGCAGGGTATCGGGTTCCAGTATCAGGGTCCTCATCAGAAGCATGTCTCCCAAGAGCTTCTTTCTTCAAATAACCAGAGGGTTGACTCACTTAAATAACACACATCCTCTTTCAAACCGGGCTCAGTGGGTAGAGCGTCGCCCCATGGAGCGAAGGGTCCCGGGTTTGATTCTGGTCAAGGGCATGTACCTTGGTTGCGGGCTCCATCCCTAGTAGGGAGCGTGCAGGAGGCAGCTGATCAGTGTTTCTCTCTCATAGATGTTTCTAACTCTCTATCCCTCTCCCTTCCTCTCTGTAAAATCAATGAATATGTACTTTTGTAAAAAATGAGACCGACTACAGCTGTTTCCCTAGGAGCCATTTCCCAGCCATCCCAGACCTGCATGGAGAATGGGTCAGACTCGGCCCAAGGCCAGCCCTGAACGTCCCAGGGGAGGCAGAGGCCCCTTTCAAACCCCTGGGAAGGGAGCCAGGGTCTCTAACTCAATGCAGAGGCTGTGACTTCCTCCCAGTTCTAAGGATGGTGTGCAAATCATGGCAGGCAGCGAAGGGACATTTCCTACAGAAGGCTTCCACCACTGTACACTCGCTCCGTCAGAGGGAAGAGGGAAGACTTCATGGCCCACAGATGGGATTCAAAGCCCAGAGGCAAAGGTTCCATTAAACATTCTAGGGTCCACAGGCAATGACTTTGGACACGTATTTAAATAGCTGATAGAGGTATGCACGGGGGGGGGGGGGATTTTTTTTAAACACTGTCCGCTCAGAGACTTAAATACTCTTTGAGAAGAAGCTCATTTCAGCATAGCCGGCGTGGTTCAGTGATTGGGCATCCACCACGGTTTTATTCCTGACTGGGGGCTTTATCCCAGTGGGGATGTGTAAGAGGCAGCCAATCGATGATTGTCTCTCGTCATTGATGTTTCTATCTCTCCCTCTTCATTCTGCTCTGAAATCAATGAAAATTT